GTGATTGCAAGCGCTTGTTCGTTTTTGTCCTCTCACGGGGCTTTCCACGAGGAACGCGTCACCAAGAGCACAATCGACATTGTTGAAGTTTGATTGTTGCAAAGCAGGGGCCACGGCCAGATTGCCGCACTCGCACATGGTGCTTCGCTCTGTTGTGGGTCCGAAATTGGGGCCGTTGAAGCCACTAAGTACTTGTGACCTGAACTGCCGATGTGCAATCTATGGATTGGAGGCAAGTTAACGGCCTACGGGGACTTGAGCACGTGGCCTTATCTACCCGTCCTTCATTCAACTCTCAGGCCCTTCCTTCTCCGATTCAGTGGCAAGCGTTGAGCGCCAGGTTGACCGAGCTCTTGGAATTTGCCCGAGACATGGACGCAGAGGAGTTTGGGTCACAGAGCGACTGGCTTGCGGGCGACCACACTATTCATGTTCAAACCGCTGATGACGCCACAAAAAACTTGAGGCCGTTCGGGCAGAAGAGCGCTTTTTGGCACATTCGTGGCAACCACATCACATCATTTGGTCAACTTGCATGAGCAACCCCGACGCACCCAGGAGCCGAGCGCAGTTGTGTGAGGGGGGTGTCGGTGAACAGAACTTGCGGTCCAACGGTTTGTCTTCTGATTCGCCGCAAATCCCGCAACGAGGTGTCCCCAACGATGCATGTTCATGCCTCAGCTTTTGTGAAATCAGACTTTATGGTCCTGTGCAAAAAGCACCTGGACTGATGGCGTCGGGCGGCCTGCGCCATTTTTGCAATGTTCGAGCATTGCTGTGCTTTATCGGATGTGTCATAGGGGTTGTGCACCTGTTTGCTTGGCGCCTCACGTCCGTGGATTTCCCGAGCACCCCTGGCAAGACAGTTGCATCACATCAAAGACCCCGCAACAGCTGGCCCTTGACTGCTCAGCTTGATCCTCGCGATCGCATTGCTCCTTTGCAATTTCAATATCAGCTGTGTAATGGCCTGACAAACCAAAGGCTCCAGATGATTGATGGAATCTTGGTTGGGCTGTTTCTTGGGGCGCAAGTTGTATTACCGGAGACAATGCAGTGGAATGGTGCCCAGTTTGTAGACGTCCAGGACAGCAACGTGCAGCCTTTGAGCAGGATACTGAACTTGCGTCGGCTCGAACGCGAAGTGCGCAAATTGTACAGTCGTTTCTGGTGCCGTCGAAAGAACGCCACTGCACAGAAGGTGTGGTGCGGCAAGTTGTCAATGCCTGCGATCGTTTACAACAGTACCCTTTCCAAGGGCGCAATGTCAGCGGCTCGGTTTGAGACCATCGCAATGAATGAGGATCGGTGGCGGGAAGAGGAGCTGTTGAAGATGGGCGAGAAGATATGGCAACACATAAGCATGATGGACAAGTCTTGGCTTTGGAAAGCCCCAAGTCGCATAGTCCGAATTTCTGAGAAGTGCGAATTCTGGTTCAAGGTGCAAGTCACAGAGGGGAGTGAAATGTGGCCATTGTTCTGGGAGATAAACAATGCCCTTGACTTCAGTGACGAAGTCATGGATGTGGCCCAGGCAATGAAACGCCAGGTGCTTTACACCTATGGCCCGGCAGCGAGAAGAAAAGCCGAGCTCTTGGGCTACGGCTTTGAGGAAGATTCTCTGCGCCAAGGGGCGTATCATGTGGTTCATCTCAGAGCGGAAGAGGACTGGAAGCGGCATTGCTCCATGTGGACTTCTGCTGCGGAGAAGAGGGACAACTGCATGAACAACACCTTTGAAATCGGCAACGTGTTGTTGTCTGAGGGCGTGAATCCTGCTTTGCCCATCTACTTGGCCACGGGCTTGTCCCCTATCGAACTGCTGCATTTGAAGAACTCCAACTCTTTTCCCAACTTCTTCAATATTTTCACTGTGGTTACCAAAGATATGCTGAAATTGTCAGATTTTCCAGCTATTGACGAGCAGCACCGTGAATATTGGGCTGCTGCGGATTTTGTCATGAGCCAAGATTCTGAGATATTCATTGGCAACTCGGTGTCCACCTTCTCAGCCTTGGTGCTGGAAATCCGGCAGATCCTGAACAGGGCCTGCTTTCACTACAACGGCGGAAAGATGCCACTGGAAGAGATTGACCTGTTGCGACCCAAAGTTCTGACCGTGGTTAGCCCCATTCGTAGTTTGATCAAATGGGTGTTTACTGTCCCTGATGTGGAACTCCATGACGACGTGTACAACGACACGTTGGTTGCTGTCAGAAGTGCACTTGCGAAAACATCCGTAGTCCCAGTTTGCGTCACCACTGCGGATCCCCACTCAGACGTGGCGGTGCGCTTGGTCTCGATGGGTGTGCGCGTCATCTACCACAAGCCCGCTTGGGTCAGGAACGTCCACACGATCATAGAGGCCTGGAACCAGAAGGCCACGAAGTCGTGGTATCAGCACGTGCAAAAGGTGGATGCGAAGCAAGTCACCAGCCGTCTCTTGCGGATCGACATCCCCCTCCTGGGTATCTTGGATCAGTTTGTACTCTTCACAGATACGGGGGTGATGTTCACTGGAGAGGTGGCTTGGTCTGATCTGATTGGAGGGGATGCCCGGACTCTCATCCGCCTCCTGCGCCGCAAGATGTTTGGCCAGGGCAGCTTCACGCACTTCGCGCAAGCTGGACATGTGGGCGTGCCCCGATACTTCAGCGCTACAGGGGGCATGACTCGGAGTACGGAGCCTGGCGAAGCGGACACCGGAGTGAGTTTGCTGAACCTGCAGTCGCTTCGGGACTCTTATGACGAGTACCTGAAGTTTCTCTTCAAGCATGACAACCTCTTGCACTTTGGGCCAGCTGATCCTTGTGGCTACCTGGAGTTTTATATCGGCCAAAACCATGTGGTCTCGCTGCTGCCCTTCCCTTTGAACTGGAAACCTTTTTGGGAGCCCAACCGCCGCGCGCAAATCGTTCACTTCCTGGGCCCCAAGTGTAATACTGACATTCTGCCCTTTCTGCGGCATGGGACTGTGCGTTTCGAGCCGTTCCGCAGTCTCTTGGACAAGTGCGCAAGTGAAGGGGATTGTGAGCAGGTCTGTCGACAATATCAGGACATGTTGTGATTAATTCAGAATGAAGTAGGGCCGAGGTAGCTGCGTGAAACAGCCAAATAGTGCAACGTAATGAGGCGGAAAAGGTGCTGCTTGCCGAAGGCTGAGTTCTGCCGGCTGGCAGTTGTTTCAAGTTTGAAGCATGCAGAAAAGACTCACCGGGTCTACGAAATCCTTCTTTGCATGACAGGATTCGTTTCTCTGCCAGCGGCTGACCTTGGTTGTTTGAATACTCTCCCGCATCTTCCAACTTGACATCTGGATTTCATGGATGAAAGAAACAAACCCGACTCGCAGCAGTTTTTAGGCGCCCTTCTGCACCAATCAAAGCGAGCTGGGGGTAAAAACAAATCACCCATGATGAAGGTCATCTTCCGGGGGCGCATTTTCCCATTTCCGGGTTGGGGAATTCTCTTGTTTCCGGTCCGGGAATTCTATGGGATTTGTTTTTTCCCCAAATAGCGCTTACAGTAACAGGTTCTTGCGGTAAGAGTTGAGGCCAAGGCCAGCTTAGATCGAGAGTTCGCGCTCAAAGTGCTGGCCCGGTGCGTGAAAAATTGTCTTCGACGCAAACGTGCGCTCTTGTTAGTGGTGCCGTGCGCATTTTTCGCCTTTTGCTGGAAGGGACGTGCTCTGTGTTTTTTCTGGAAGCCAAACGTTTTTGAGCCTCATGCCAAATGTCTTCTGTAGGGAGCAAAGTGCGTTCTTGACGGCAGGGCCGCCAGGCGGTGATGTCTTCTTGTCGGGTCAGCCGACGACGCTTGTACAATCGGAGCTCTAAAGCCATGGCAGTTGTTGCAAAAAGTTGTCTTGCGTGCGACAGCTTCGCTTGAAACGGACCTTTCTTCACAACTGCGCTCTCACCGTGGCGCCGCGCCGATCTTCGGATTTGTGTGTTGACGCAGATTTCCATGGCCAGCGCAGCATTCTGTGAGACTGCCGTGCGTTTTTTGTGGCGTTTTGAGCTCGGCGAACCCAGCGCTCTCACTGTGGCGTCATGTAAATGTATCTTGAGCTCGGATCATCCCTCAGCGGAGATCGTGCGAGTCGCAGCGCTCTGGCTGAAGCGCCACGCGAATGTGTCTTGAGTTCGGCGAACTCTCGCTGTGGCGCCGTGCAATGTGTCTTGTGGCACCGTGCCAACGTGTCTTGAGCTTGCCAAACCGTTTGCGGAGATTGCGCGTGTCGAAGCGCTCTCGCTGTGGCGCCGTGCGAATTTGTCTTGAGCTCGGCGAACCCTGTGCGGAGATCGTGCGAGTCGAAGCACTCTCGCTGCGGCGCCGTGCGAATGTGTCTTGAGCTCGGCGAACCCTCTGCGGAGATCGTGCGAGTCGAAGCGCTCTCGCTGCGGCGCTGGGCGAACCCTATGCGGAGATCGTGCGTGACGAAGCGCTCTCGCTGCGGCGCCGCGCGAATGTGTCTGAAGCTTGGCGAACCCTCTGCGGCGAGCTCGGAAAGCAGAACTTTCAATCGCGAAGGTATCGTCCGGAAAGTGTGTTCTACACACGAATTACTACACATCCGTATCTGCAGCAGGAAAATCACAACTTGTGAGTGCAAAAAGAGTACGCGAAGCACACTTCCCCAGCTAAAACTACTGCCAGCCTTCTTGCGCGGCCACGCTGCGCACAGATATGGACAAGATAGTTTTCAAGAGAGGTCGCGAAAGATTTGACAAGACAAATTCAGGTCATCATGAGCACGCACTCCATCATGCGCTGCATCGCGCGCAACGTCACGCACAGCTTCGCGCGGAGCGCGCGCGAGAAGTTAACAGGAGAGATTGCGAATCATGATGCTAAGTTTACTCATCAGAACTCGCAGACGCTTGAGCAGGGACATTGACGTGTGCACGATTTGTTTCTCATCAGGTGGGAGAGGTGTAGAAAGATGTTAAATACGCTTCCGAGCCACCTGTCGTCAAGTTAAACTACAAAACTACGCGGGGTGTCTTGCCGGGATGATTTTTTGGGGTGATTTTCCGGGGTAGAACTTTGGCGCGGACCGCCATGGCGCGCATGTTCGCCTCTCGGCGCTGGCCACTGCTAGCCCTGTGCCTGGCGATCCGGGCCGCGCTGCCGAGGCTGGCTTGGAGATGGAGCTGGAACCGAAGAGAACTTTTCTCAGGTAACATGTCAGTTGGCCCTGGGTGGCATCTGGAATTTTCACAGCCTGCTTCTCCCCCTGCGATTTTTGTCCTTCGGAGGACCTTTGCGGCGCCCTCGGCTTCTGCGGCCTCGGAGAGCACCTGGCGCGAGGCCTACCAAGCGGAGCTCGCGCGGAACGAGCTGCTGCCGGGAGCTCGGAGAGTCGGTGGCAAACTGGGGCAAAATTAATTGCCGCAGTGCTTGTGTTTTTGGAGATGGTTCCCTGTTTGGGAAGCCAGCAGGAAAACCATCATTTTGGGTGCCTCACATTTTGGAGCAGGAGCCAGGCTTTGGAAACCCGCCCAAGCAAGAGGTAGACAAAGGGGGGCTGGACAAAAAGAAAGGAAGAAAGAGATGGGCCTGGACAACTGTGAGGCCAAGGGAAGCCCCCAGTTGTTCAGTTGGTTTCACTCTCTAAAGTTGGTTGCTGGGCTCACAGCAAGTGGTGAACCCCACAAAGGATTCCTTGGGACATGCCAAGTCCAGAAGGCCCCAAACCAAACAACCGATTTTATCAGCGCGCTACAGAACCTCGAAACGGCAACGCGCCGAACAAGCCCTCAGAGCCCGAAGCTGTTGAATGCTCAGCATAAAGGGCAATGTCCCTTTAAACCGTGGGCGCAAGCGAAGGAGCAAGTTGCTACATCTTCCTAACAACATACATCAGACCAGGGATCCAGTTACCACTATAGTTGCAGAGATTGCTCATATTTATTCCAGTCGGTTCATGTTTACTGGGTTGCCAGCGAACCGGGCTTGCTTGAAGCCGTTGGGCCCTTGTTCCGTAACTCAGGCAGCAGCAGCTGGAGAGTTTGGGCAAGGACGCCAGCCCGGAGGTGCCTGAGGCTTGCGAGGCGCGGCCCTGCGTTCGGACATGTGCTTTGTGATTTCAGCCTTTTTGGGGCGGTTTGAAAGAAACATAAAAGGAATCCATTGTGGTTGGGCCAGACTTTTTGAGACATACCGGGGAAAGATTAGATATCCTTGCCAATGATGGAACTTGACGGTTGCGCTTCTGAAATCTGGAGGATGCGGGTTGTCCGCCTTCCCCTGAGGTGGATTGGGAAGGCAGCTACCAGAAGCTCGCAGCCTGCAACTTGACCCGGGAAGCTGTTGATTGCCAGCGCGATTAACTTCTTGGGCGTGTACTGGTTTTGGAAGGCAAACATGGACAACATGGCAAACATGGCAAACATGGCAAACATGGCAAACATGGCAATGAGCCACCCAGCAGGGGAGTATTCCCAATTTGGGGAGTACCCCTAATTCGGAGACTTGGATAAACAGGCAAGTGCCCAAAGACAGCCCGCAACGAGGCAACCAGCAGCTGGAGGTGGCGATCTACGGTGAGCGGAAGTCGACAGAGGACCGGGAGGCACAGTTTGGCGCCTCCACTGGGGCACGTTTGCTTCCTTTTTGGAGGGTTGATCAGGCTTGTCAATCAAGAACCAGACAAGTGCCGTGTCCAGCCCGGGGAACTCGTGTCTCCCTTGAAAATCCCCCCAAAATTGGATGTGCCCAAAAAGCCAGCCAGCCGAGTGTTGGCAAAAAACCCTCAGGAACCCCCCGCAATAAAAACGACCATCCACCCGCCCCGCGGGTCGCGCGACGAGTCCGTGAGGAGGTGCCGAAGGCCGCGCCGCTGGCCTTTGAAGTGTCGCTGCCCGCTTCCGAGACCAAAGAGCCACCTGGACGTGTGAGATGGCAGACTGGTCCTGGCACGCTTAAGAACAATTTTATGTTTTAAGGTTGACTAAATGTGAAACAAAATCTGAGCCGCGACACCAGGCACCATGTGGTAGCTGGTTAATCATAATGTTTCATCCACAACTGGTGCAAAATGGAATTTGTCCATCACAGTATTGCGGTTTTGCAGGGATTATGGCCAACTGTTGAACATTTTCTACTAAAGGAGCATAAAGGCGAAAAAGGAGCCATGACTCCCGCCCGGCTATTTGCTGCCGTCAGTTCAACTTGCGAAACGGGGTGCTGCTCCGGGTGTGTGTGTGTGTGTGGGTGCGTGCGTGCATGGGTGCGTGGGTGCGTGGGTGCGAGGGTGCGTAGGTGCGTGGGTGCGTGGGTGCGTGGGTGCGTGGGTGCGTGGGTGCGTGGGTGTGTGGGTGTGTGGGTGTGTGTGTGTGTGGTGTGTGTTGTGTTGTGTTGTGTGTGTTGTGTTGTGTTGTGTTGTGTTGTGTTGTGTTGTGTTGTGTTTTTTGTGTTGTGTTGTGTTGTGTTGTGTTGTGTTGTGTTGTGGTGTGGTGTGGTGTGGTGTGGTGTGGTGTGGTGTGTGTGTGTGTGTGTGTGCGTGTGCGTGTGCGTGGCGTGTGCGTGTGCGTGTGCGTGTGCGTGTGCGTGTGCGTGTGCGTGTGCGTGTGCGTGTGTGTGTGTGTGTTGTGTGTGTGTTGTTTTGTTTGTTTGTTTGTTTGTTTGTTGTGTGTGTGTGTGTGTGTGTGTGTGTGTGTGTGTGTGTGTGTGTGTGTGTGTGTGTGTGTGTGTGTGTGTGTGTGTGTGTGTGTGTGTGTGTGTGTGTGTGTGTGTGTGTGTGTGTGTGTGTGTGTGTGTGTGTGTGTGTGTGTGTGTGTGTGTGTGTGTGTGTGTGTGTTGTGTGTGTGTGTGTGTGTGTTTGTGTGTGTTGTGTGTGTGTGTTTGTGTTGTGTGTGTGTGTGTGTGTGTGTTGTGTGTTGTGTTGTGTGTTGTGTGTGTGTTGTGTGTGTGTGTGTTGTGTTGTGTTGTGTTGTGGTGTGGTGTGGTGTGGTGTGGTGTGGTGTGTGTGTGTGTGCGTGTGCGTGTGCGTGTGCGTGTGCGTGTGCGTGCGTGTGTGCGTGTGTGCGTGTGTGCGTGTGTGCGTGTGCGGTGCGGTGTGTGCGGTGTGTGCGTGTGTGCGGTGTGTGTGGTGTGTTGGTGTGTGTGTGTGTTGTGTGTGTGTGTGTGTGTGTGTGTGTGTGTGTCTGTGTGTGTGTCTGTGTGTGTGTGTCTGTGTGTGTGTTGTGTGTGTGTGTCTGTGTGTGTGTGTCTGTGTGTGTGTGTCTGTGTGTGTGTGTGTCTGTGTGTGTGTGTGTGTGTGTGGTGTGTGTGTGTGTCTGTGTGTGTGTGTGTGTGTGTGTGTCTGTGTGTGTGTCTGTGTGTGTGTGTGTGTGTGTGTGTGTGTCTGTGTGTGTGTGTGTGTCTGTGTGTGTGTGTGTCTGTGTGTCTGTGTGTGTCTGTCTGTGTGTGTCTGTCTGTGTGTGTGTGTGTGTCTGTGTGTGTGTCTGTGTGTGTGTCTGTGTGTGTCTGTGTGTGTCTGTGTGTGTCTGTGTGTGTCTGTCTGTGTCTGTCTGTGTCTGTCTGTGTCTGTCTGTGTCTGTCTGTGTCTGTCTGTGTCTGTCTGTGTCTGTCTGTGCGTGTCTGTCTCTCTGTGTGTGTGTGTTGTGTGTGTGTGTGTTTGGGTGTCACTCGCTTTGTTCAAGAAAAAGCAACCGCTGATGAAAAGAGGTTACCCACAAGGGGCGAGCAAACGAGCAACATGGATGACCATGTAGCCACTTACCAACGAGCAAGCGAGCAAAATGGACGTTTCTTCAATCACAACGAGGCGAGTGGAGGTCCTGGGCTTCCGAGATCCGCGGAAGGCAAGGGATGGGACGGGGGGAGGACTGGAAGCTCTTAAGGTGGACACAGGGGAACCAAGATGACGCAAATTCGAAGAACGGTTGGTTACATGCTTCATGCGCAAGAGGCTTGCCCAATCCTTGGGTTTGAGCAAATAGCCTTTAGAACGTTGATCAGGATGAGCCTTGCGTGAGAAAAACTCTTCCTTCGGTCCCTTTTGTGCGCAAGGCTGGGCGCTGGACGTATCCGATCCCTGTGGCTGCGCGCGTGTTTGTCAAATCGGGGATCCTTGTTGATGGTGTGAAGAAGAAATGATATGATAAACCCAATTTGCCCAAATGGGACTTTGAGTAAGATTTGCTTATGTGGTGCTCAAGGCCCTAGCTGTTGCCAGACAACTTCTCGTCATGGAGAATCGCTAAGTGGAGGCCACAAACTGAAGTCGGTGAAGGCAACGATTGTTGAGCCCTTCAAAACAGAATCGCCGCGGCTTGCGTTTCCCAGCCCCGGTAGGCGTCCTTCTTTGCGGTCAAAGCACGCCTTCCTTTAGGCGCGGCCGGTTGAGTTTCTCCAACGCTGACTGGACGCGGACTGGACGGACTGGACTGTGACATGCAGCAGAAGATGCTGGCTGGCAGGCAGGCAGGCAGGCAGGCAGGCAGGCTGGAGTCTCTGAGATCAGATAATTGCAACTGGTCAAGTTGTTTGGTCCACGTTACATAGATGTCGCAGATCCCGCAACGCCATATGAGCAAGCGGAGTCCAACATATTCTTTACATTTCGGGCAAGGCAGGCCCAATTCAAACGCGTTGGTTCATGTTGGCCACATCCCCACAGAGGTTGGGCTCTTGTTTCAAGGCGCTTTGGGTAAGCGAGTTGCTTCAATCACCACCTGGGCTCATTGACTGTCATCATGCGACCTAGGCTTGTGGCCCTTGGCTAAGGTTCAACATGTTTGATGGAAGACCTCTGGTTACCCGACTGGAAGCCTAGGCCTCCAGCTCACGAAGGACGCCCCCAACGAGCCCAAGAACGCCTTCCTGGTGGAGGCTGTGGCCCCCGAAGGCGCCGCCGCCCAAAGCGGAGTCCTGGCCGGAGACATTTTGCACGCGCTCACCGCGGTGATGGACCGGTCCAACCTCGGCATCAAGACCGAGGAGAATCCTTTTGTTTCTTTATGTATTTGAACTTGCTTTGCTTTCACTTGGATGTTGTGGCCGTCTTGTTTTTGATGGGGACGCCCCTCAGGCACCGTGCACGGTCTGCAGTTTTGGGAGGGGGGAGGGATTTTGGGGAGGCGGGGGTGGGTCGGGGGGGTTGACGCGTTTCGCCTTCGGCTTTTGGTCCACCAAACCTTAGGACTTTGTCTCCAGCGTGGTGGGCGGCCTGGGCCGGTGGAGACAGACGCCCGGCTTAGCTCCAAAGGGAAATTTTCCAGTGGCAGTGCGTCGCCAGTTGTTCAGTGGCTCCTGTTCTCCCTTTTTGTTTGGTGGGTTCCTCTCTTAAAATGGTCAATCCCAATTTGCAGTCTGCAGTGCTCATTGCCATGAAAGTCTCTGCTACAAGTCCACCGCAACGGCAATGGATTTCTGAATCTCGCTGGGTGAGGTATGCTTATCCCTGAGCATTGTGTGTACATGCCAGCGTTTTTCCAGTTTGACTCCTTCAGGACGATCGTGGATTCTTCGTACATCAACACGGTGGACGACCTCGTAGATCAGCTTAAGTCCAACACCATGTTGGGCTCGGACACAGAAGTCTTGCTCATTTTCGAGCGGGATGTTAGCGCGCTGCCAGAACCGGCAGAGCCTTTGGAAGCTGTGCCAAAGTGAAGCATGGCAAGTAAAAAAGCTGATAAGGCACATGCACATACATGAGGGAGCTTTGAGATCCGCCAGTTGTCCAATGCATTCCCAGCCATTTTGCCCTTTGGAAGGACGGGTTCTTTTTAAAGAGAAAGGCAAGTCCTTTTCTCTTTCTGACCACCAACTTGTCCTCCAAGGTTTGGCGGGTTTGATGGGCATTGGGCCCCCCGCAGCTGTCGCTGCGCAAGTACTGGGAAAGGCATGGAAACCCCCGTATGATTGAATCTATTCTATCGGGTTTGTAGTGAATATTGGTCAACTTCTGGTTGCTTTGATCAGGGGGTTGTCCCCTTGAAGAGGGGCCCTGCATCACTTTGGGGGGAGTTGCCCCAGAGGCAACTGTGGCAGGGAGGGTAGTAAAAAACGCCCTAGGATGAGCCAATCTTGCCAGGACGTGGATGCAGGCTGCTGGGCCGTGAAGGAGCTCCAGCTGGGCCAGCTGGGGCCCTGCAAGCTTCCAGCAACTGGTTTCAGGTTTCGGCGGGTTTCTGATTGAATCGGCCAGGCATTGCCAGATATGTTTGTTGTCCTCAGCAGTTGTGTTTTTGTTTGCTGCATTTGGATTTTTTTTGGGATACACTATGTTTGAGTAGGTTGGGGCATATGTGTTCACGTTATCTACCAGCAAACTGCTAGCGCTTGCAGGGGGTCGTCAGGTTTGGGTTTGCGGGGGCATAGCAGAATTGTTTGCTGAGTAAATCCATGCAACCCATGGACACACTTGAGGGTCATGAGGTAGTAAACTGGCTCTAGCTTGCACCAAAGGACAACAATGTGGGTGTAGCCAGAAGCCTAGACAGTATTTCTTATAGCCCCATTCAGGGCCATCCACGGCAACTTAACTGCTTGTAAGCCCTTTCCCGCCATGCTCAATGCACTGCGAGGGTGGGGATAGGGAAGGGTTCCTTGACTCAGGTGCCCAAAACTCTGGTGGTGTTCGGCTGGGGGGGGGTTCTTCCCCCCAACCCCAGTTCCATGAGGGTCCCCTAACATTTGGCCATGCCTTGAGCAAGCCGCTGTGTTGTAAGGATTCCTCCCGTCAGCTTCCAGCTTTTCGCCTGCTTCGACTGGTCACTCGGTGCTCCAACTTCCAAGGCCCTTGTTGCAGCGGCTGGAAAGCGCCAGCGGCTTACAGGGGCAAACTGAAGGGCTCCGGGAGGAACCAGGTGAAGTCAGACGAGGGCTGCAAGACTGGAACACAAGGCAGCGCAATGCCGGGCAAAATTGCCTTTTTGCTCTTTTGCTGGGAACTGGCCAGTGAAGTGTGCTGCAGGGGAATGTCAGTTCGCCAGCGTGCTGGCTGTCTGCCAGGTGCGGCCAGAATGATCAGGCAAGTGAGGCACTCAAGCCTGCCGTGGGGTGTCCCAAGATTCCAAGCAAAAATATGAATGGTTCGCAAAAGAGAGTGAAGAGTTGAAGAGACCAGCCATTACGCAGTGTTTCCCTTTTTTGGGGCGCACCCAAATTTCGGCTAGTCGTTCGACCCTTTGAAGGTCTGTTCCGTTCGGAAGTCCCGGTTCCAGTCGCGCCGGCCCGAAATCCAACGATTTCGGTTCAGGCTTGGATTAAGACCGCGCCCAATACGCGGCAACTGCGTCGGACAAACTCCCGCAACGCATCTGCGCAAAGCACGGAGAGAGAAAGGCGTGGCTTGCGTTGTTTGGGTGTGCTTGATTGCCGCCGTTCAGCATGGGAGGGTGTGGGAAGCTGGCCTTTTTGGAGAATACGAGAACTGCAGCTTGGTGGAATCTAAAGGGCAATTGTTGTAAGATGTTTCCCTTCCTGATTTGCAACTATGTCATGCTGAAGGATCGTGTTGCTGGAACAAGGCCTTTTGCCGAGGGTCCGAGTGGGATCAAAATGCGAGCAAATGGCAATACCGCACCATCGTCTCATGTCTTTTAAAGCAACAAATAATATTGCTCGTGGCAAGATCTGCCGGAGTTTGAATAGCCGACCTCCTCGCGTGCTGCCGGAATGGCCAACCATCATGTTGATTTGCTTTTTGGCATTCTGGAAAGCAGACGTGTGCTCGAAGTGTGCTTCATGTCGGGCTCCGAGTCCTGCACACAAAGCGTACAACGTCCGAGCCCAAATCACGTGCCAACCATGAGCAGCTTTGCTGAGCAGCTGGAGAAAGTCCGCTGGCACGCCTCTTGACCTCACAATGACTCCGCGCAAAGACAGCATCCCAAGACGTGGTTTGGGTCAGTTCTTTCAAAAGTGCTGGACTCGTGACCCCTAAGGCTGAAACAGCAAAGGCGCAAATGGCCCAGGCTGGTGAGCAACAAACTCGCCCATAAACGGGGGGATTCTGACGATCTGATATCAGGATTGCAGAGAACAAGCATCCGCAACCAATCTGGTGTCCCCTTGGACTGCACCGCTTCTCATGGAGAACTCCAAGGATCTGGAAGGCCAGTTGGGAGTTTCAGCACTGTTCGCGCGAGCGGTTCTGCGGTTTCTCCAGTTTTTTCAGACCCGATTTGACACGCACATTGTTTAGCGGGTACGTGTCGACATGTTGTTTGCAAATGGTGGGCAATTCATGACGGATGTTCTTCAGCAAGCCACCTCTCCGTGAGCTCCTTCATGGATCGGTACTGGTACTAGTACTTGCTTGATAAGTTTGGTCCTTTTTTGCCTTGTCACAGGCTGTGTTTGCATGTCGTTGTGTTCCTCCCATCCCCACTTTCAACAGTGCTCCATGGGTTGGTCACCAGTTGGAACATCCCTGCAGGGTCCCTGCACTGGAATTGCATCGCCTTTCCATAACTTAGCCGATGGCAACAAGGATGCCTGTGCGCAATCGATGTATTCCAGCTCCACTTGAGTCCCTCCCCGCTTGCTCCTATGCATTCAAGAAGATCAGTTCCTACTTCATACGAGGCTCACCGATGGGCATGGCATCCAGACGTAGGTGGGTTGCCATCTTTGGCTGCCGGAGGCCCACTGAAATACACCCCGGTGGTTCAGTGCCACTGGTTGATGTCCCCCAGTAAACCGGCATGCGCCCCAATAGGGAATGGCTCACTGGTCATCGATGTGCGTTCGGGAGCAATTTCAATGATTGGATCAGTTTGTTTGCGTAAATGCTGTGTGTAAAAATGCGTGGAACACTCTGGTGTGTGAAGTGACATTTTTTGGGCTTTTGAGGGCCATTTGACAGCCATTCGATAAAACCCGGTGAGTGTCTTAATTTTTGGAGGGAACCTTTTTGCGGGGGTGGATCGTAAGGGAACCAAAGCGACACCATCCCTTTGGGTTTACACATGTTTTCACCACCAACTTGCAAGTCACTATGAAAGCACCTCGAGGTGGCACACCAATGGTCGTGTCCAAGAATAGAAACAGCGCCATGTTTGGTTGTTCAAAAGGGAAACCAAAGGGACACTCTTTCTTGTTGTTGTTTTCTTTTTCTTTTTTTTGTTGAATGAAGGGATGGTGTATTTTGGTTTTCCATGTGAAGCATGTGAAGCTCAAGTCAACGGAAGCTACTGATTTCAGGGATTCCTGTGCTGTTCCGCTTCGCACGTCTCGAGGCCCAGAGCCAGAGAATACCGAGCTCGGCCCAAAGCTTTGGGGGCTGGTGGGTTTGTGTTGAAGTTGGGTTTGTATTTTGGGGTTGGTCTGAAGTTCAACAAGTTGTAAAGAGCCCATTTTTTCGGGTGTTCCTCTAAACTTGAGAGGTGTCACCAGAAAAACCAACAGGAAGACGACCCAGAGACGACCACTATTTTTGGTTGTTGCCCCGTTTTGCCCTTAGACTCCTTTGACGCGTACCTACTTGGCCGGGGCCGGGAAAACCATTATGGTTGATGAAATATGCAAAGAATGCCTTTTGATGCACGTGCTTAGTTCTTTTTTGTGCCAAGTGATACATGTATAATATACATAATATGATGTATATCTGTATAATATGATATATAATATGTTTAATATGTGTATACTATAATATATATATATATATGTATATATATATACATACATATATACATATATATATATACATACATATATGCACATACATGTGCGTGTGTGTATATGTTGTATACATATGTTGTCGGTTTTCCCGATTGAAGCATTGATGCTCCTATCGCACTGTGCAGACATATTTTAGGGAGGTGCTTACAACAGATCTTGAGCCATGCAGCAAAGGGCACCATGGCTGTCCAGGGTATGTGTCGTGGCAGCAACCTTGGGAATTGGGGTCAGTCTCACCCTCAATTGGGCTAGGAGCGTAGGGCTTCAGCTCCTGGAAGAATGTGGCATTTTGGGCTGAAATTCTGATATTCAGACTTGCGTGTAAAATGGGGGATCCCGTCATGATAATGTGGTTCATGTCCCTGCTGGTGCATGGAATCCAAAACCTACAAATTTGGCTGCTTTCCTGTTAAGCATGCCAGCTAATGGTTCATATTCCTTGCCAGTCACTGATTTTCAGACGAAAGGTACGGTTCCGCTCAGGGTGCTTCTTGACTCTTGACTCATTGCATTCCACAAGGGGTGAATAGAGTAGCCCTTGAGAAGGGTAGCCTGGTCCAGCCTGGTCCAGCAATTCTGCATTCGCCAGAAGCCAACACTGGCTTGCTGGTCCCAATTCGCCGAAGGTGTTGCTTGTGCCTCAGAGCTTGAGTGGATGCAGGGGCTTCTGCTAAGAGCAAGGCCCGAGCCATCGGCAGAGGAGCTGATGGGGGGCCAGGTGCGTTTTTGCGGCATCATCATGACTGGATTCGCTGAGAAGATGATAAGGGGCAGTTACTGCCGATGGTTCTAGTTCCGGGCTTCAATGTTGGGGCACGCTCCAGGTTGGTGAATTAATCATCCCTTTCACAAAGTGCACTGTCCTTTGCTCTTTTACAAGAAACATGGTGCCTTTTGCAGGTAGTCTGCCACCCTCCTACCAAACATGGCTTGCGCAGACCTCATTTGACTGATTTTGACTTCCTTTTGAAACGGTGTTCCTGGGCAGCAAGCAT